AAATACAGTTCATCTTCGGGTATATCTGCAACAACAGAGAGATTATTTCACTGAATGCAACAAAGATTTTTAGATTCTGCTTTTCCCTAAACATGTCATAACCAGCGCACACTTTTCTCTCAGTCGATGGGACCTCTCGTACTATTCCAGTAGTGACAACGTTTAGGACAAGATGATGGTGCTACTCAACAGCATATCAACAACTCTCGCCAAACACTCCTGTTAGAGGAGCTGTAGTCCTTTCAGGAGATAAATGAAAGTCAGCGCTGCCACCAGGCTGACACAAAGGCCGGTCAAGGCAACGGAAAGTTTTCAGCTGGATAACTGAAGAATCAAAAAATGAATTATAGCTGACCCATACTTTCGCATGCCAAACTTTTTTGGTTACTTTTTATTTACAATTGCAGTCCTCGGCGACGGAAAAGCTGCGAGCTGCAACTTCGGGGTTTTAAAGTGCGTTACAAGAAAACCGCGATCAATCACAGCTCGTTCGCCGTCTTTTAATCCTCAGCTGCATATCTCCAGTTAGCACTCACTCTTCCGTTCTGCTCAATGTATGTACGGCACCGCCTTTTATTTTTGTAACTGTATTCAAAAAAATGTTACATTGTCTGGATGTAATATTTCCATTAGTAATGGTACTACGCGAGGGAGCATCCTCGTTTAATTGCAAACCATAAAGATAGCTGTCTTCCATGCGATAATGCTGGGGAATTTCGAATGCTGCTGCATCAATTTCCACCTTAAAAAAGCGCATGCGAATTATTTATCACGCAACAGCCCGAGTGCTGCAAGCTTCAATATTGGAAATCTGTACTGCTCAGGTAGACCCCATCAGAAGCAGATTTAAAGCTCGTCATTTAGAAAAAACGAAGTTACTCCAAACATGGTACGTTGCCCACAGCACATTTATTCATCAACACTCAAGAATTATCTCACCACCAGACACAAAAAGTCCACACAACTTTGTACCGATGAGGCCAAACTCCGGTTTTAAGTACGGGTAGATCGGCACGCTTGCTTAGATCATGTAATCCAAAAATCCTAAGGAAAGTGGACAGCATACCATCCGGCTGCGGTCGAGGAATGCCACAATTTGAGATAAGGTTTTAAGGACTTTCCAGAAAGCCTAGGAATTTCGTCATACCAAGAATTTTCTAGAATGCCTACGGCTTTTGCCAAGGTTATCTTTGTTGAGAAGGGGGGAGACAGAAGGAAAGGGAGGGGGAAGGAGAGCCGAGACGGATAAAAGGATCAGCGGCAGACTGACCATTAGGCGATGAAGCATTGACAGAAGTTGAAAAAGCTGTCGACTGCATAGTTGAAGGGTCAGAATATATGTTGCAGCTGATCAAACATACGTAAATTGTTTAATTTTCACTAAATATTGCCTTGAATAAGAACTAATTTTTGTGAAATACAAGTTACCTTGTTGGATGCATCAGCAAGGGAGACATGAGGTCCCGGTTTGTTAATTGCTGAAAACGTGATCCGAGCACTGACCAAGTGGAACAGCGGAATTTCAATTTTTACAGGGAAACCAGCTGGCAACTGCAGCTGGATGAAATTCCTCAGTCGAGCAAAATGAGCACTGTTCACTGCCATCAAATCAATTATTGGTAAAACTTGATCCTATAATCAACGAATTTAAATATAAATCTTATAATCAATTTTCCGTGTCAAGGAAAATTCGAAAAGAAACAGATAAAAGCAGTCTTTTAGCAATACACTGTTGTATTGCAGCATGCCTAGTTTCACTATGCGGTGTGTATGAATTTCGGGAAGTTGGATATGTGAGAAACTCAACCCCCACCCTTTTAAACTTAATGTTTGTTCTCTCAGAACTGTGAGGACACAATCTTTCACCAGATTTTGTTCGGCGTGGCCACTAGGCTTTTTCATGTGGACAAAAACGAAAAAGTGCAGCAGTAACTTCGACAATAAAATTATCCTGTTTTCGACTGCAGCACGTCACAATCTTCCATCTCCTTGCTTTCAGGCAGAAGATGCTGCTTCGCAAATTTGCGAAAAATTTATACTTGTTAAACTGAGAAGCTATTGCTTGCTCGACATTCAAACAAGAAGATAAACTTATTTTTTTTTTCTTTTAACAACACTCCTCGCTGAATCTTTTGAATTATTCAGTCAACGTTCTGACTGGATGCAAATTATGCATCATCCATAGCAATTAAAATTCCTCTTAGTTCTAAATAATTGGCCAACGCACGGGCTGCCCGTGCGAAGATGTGTTTTTTGCATAGTTCCCCGCAGTTT